GCTGATCCAAGCCAGGATGCTGGTGGTCTTCTTGGCCACCTGGGCACACCCTGGCTCATCTCCAGCCAGATGCCAACCAGCAGCCTCAGGTCCTTTACTCCCAGGTTCTTTCCAGCCCCTCTGCCCAGCCTAGAACGTTGCAGGGGGTGGTTGTGCCCCCAGTGTGCCATGGGCTTTGCCAGGGACTCTTGGCACTGGTGCAATTAGCCACCCCAGAGGGGTTTAGGAGCAGCCTCCTGGCACAGCATTTGGGCTTTTGCTCCTGCCTGGGCCCTGGGCACAGCTTCCCTCTCCCACCCCTCTCACCCAGAGCACAGTCACAGCCCCTGGCTGCTCCTGCTGGGTCTTACCCACCCTGGCAGGGACTGATCCATGAGCTGCTGATCCTCAGCACGGTCCCTGCTGCATCAGACCCACAGCAACGAGAACGTGCCTGTGATGGAGCTGAGCCAAGGCCCCATCTGCCCAAATCCAGGCTTGGGTGCCTCTTGTGCACGAGGGATTATCCCACTCCCACCTTCCCACACCACGGGGGGGGGGTTCCCCCTTTCTATCCTGCTTGAAGTGGGGGCAACCTTTGTGTGGTGAGAGGAGAGGAAAAGCCCTTTCCAGCCCTGATCCCTCCCCCTGTGCCCCTCGGGTGAGCAGTTGGTGATGGAACCCCCTTGATCAACAGTGCAAATAGCCCCTTAGCCCCCAGCAGAGTGGAAATGAAGAAGCAGGAGACACTCCTGGACCTGAGAAGCTCCTGCTGAGACCTTCCACTGCAGCCACTGGGGAGGAAAGAGGCAGGTGCCCCTGCCACTCTTCCTAGGGGGGGAGGTCATCTCCTTTTCAAAGATAAGGCATGAGCCAAAACTAGAGAAGGGACCATCCTTGTGAGGGGAGATGAGCATCCCATCAATCTCTCAGGGTTTGGTGGCTTTATGACACAGCAGTGCAGGCTGGAACTGAGGAGAGCTGGTGTTTGCACGCTCTGGTGACCATCTCCTAGCACAGACTGGTTCATTAATGGAATTTTATTGGGATTCTATATAGGGAAACAATTATATGTAACTGGATTGTTCTGGAAACTGAAATAAGGCCTCAATCATCTCCACAAAGGTGGGTGTGCTTTGGTAGAAGCCTCGTGATGAGAGGGGATGCTCTGGGGGGAGCACCTCCTGCCCTGCTCCCCTGGCTGGTCCCAGGGAACTCTCCAGCTCAGCCACATCCCCCTGGGAGAGTCGCTGCCCTGAGGTGTCTCTGGGCTGCCAGACCCCATGTAAGGGACACAGGGGCAAACCTGGAGCCCAGGGACAGGGAGACACTGGTGGGATGTGACCGTGGGTCTGCAGGGATCTGGTCTGACCCAGACCATGCCTGGGATGGTGACTTCATTCCCCTTGGGTGGAAGTTTTGGGTTTCCAGAATCACTCCCTTGATGTAACCCCAGTAAAAGACCAGTTGACCTCCCAGGGAGCCAACCCTGCAGCCCCTGCAGGCCACAGCCACAGCTCCCAAAGGCCTCAGAGAAGATTGTGTTGAGCCAATGCTCCACAGCCACCACGAAGCCCCAAGTGTACGACAGCTCCTTCCTAACCCCTGCTGGTTTATCCCAAAGAAACGTGCAGCCACCAACTCTGAATCATCAACACTCTGTTAATTATTTAGTTTTTATTGGTTAGGTCAGGGGAGTTGCTGGAGGAAGCAGGGGAGAAGCTCAGGTCACACAGGACTTTTCCACAATGTGTTTTTAGGAGGGGAACTGAGAGCACGTGTCTGAGGGAACCCCATTAACTTCAACATCCCATTCCCCTCTCCAGCCTGACTGGCAGAAAGAGAGGCTCCAAATCCTCCTACAGTGCCTGAACCAGCTTGGAAACCAATTTCCTACATCCTAAACCCCCACATCTGGCTCCAGCCAGCCCTGCCTCAGCCTCTGCCAAACACATGGAACCTCAGGGAACCCCATTCCTTAAATCCCAGCAATTACTTGGTCTCGATCCCTTTTAATTGCCAGCTCCATGAGACCATCCTCCACCAGCTGGAAGAGCTGCCTCCAGGAAAACCCACGCTGCTAAACCACCACCAGGCAACAGCACGGTGGGAAGTCTCATTAGAGAAATGCTTTATGCAGGGAAGCTGCTAAAATTCCCAGGAAAAGGAAGTTTCTGCCCCTCTGGCTTTGGTTTTTCCTCGTGCCCAGCTGAGGTCAGCAGAGGAACTGCTGCAGATCAGCCTCATGCCCCAGGTTTTGTCAGGCACCAGGATGAAAAGCACAAGGGGAAGCTCCTGGCTGCTCAACATCTACTTTCCCTCTTCCCAAGCTACATCACCCTTAATTCTTCCTGTATAACACCAAGGAGGGAGGTGAAAGTTCCCTGACAGCATCTGCTGCGTGCTGACAACATCTTGTGAAAGGGCTTTTGGAGGCCACAAACATTTGCCACCCACAGGAGCCCTTCCACCCTCTCCTCTGCAGAGGATGCTGGAGCTGGGTCCTGCCCTGGGCTGGGGCAGAGCTTTGCTAAGCCACCCACCAGAGCAGCTTGGCCTGCCCGTGCCTCAGTTTCCCCTTACACAGCTTATCACAACGCTCTCAATCTTGGACAAGCACTTTGGAGGTTGCCTGGGGCTGGGTGGGCACCCAACGACGGTGGGGAGAGGGCAGGAGACGGGTGCTGGGGACTCACAGGAGGGGAGCTGGGAGCAGCACCCTAAAAATCAATGTTCTTGAAGTCCAGGGAGCAGCGGTAGCGGCCGTCGAGGAACCTGGAGCAGGTGAAGTTGGGGGAACAGGGGCAGGTGTGGTGCTGGCGCTTCCCCAGGAAAGGGACCTGAGGAGAGACAAGGGAGAGATGCAGGAGAGACGAGGGCACAACCCAAAAAAACCACCCCAGGGGACCCGAGCCCTGAGGAAATCTCTGCCTCTCCCCGGAGGTTTCAGGGGGCTGTGCCTGGAAGGAGGTTTTGATCCCTCTTGAGCCCTTTGCTCCTTCCTCAGGTGAGCCCCAGGCACAGCAGCAGCGTCGGATCTGCCTCCCAGAGTGTGGAATCGATGGGGGAGCTGGGAGGGGGATGTGCCCCCGGCTGGGGGGCTGCTGCTAAAGCCTCTCGGTGTGGGGACAGCAGCAGTGTCGTCCATCAGGCTGATCCCTGATCTCTGGGATCTGGATTGGACCCAAACTGCAGCTCGGGGGCATTAACTCAGCTTCTCCTCACCCCACGGAGCAGCCACAGCTCCAGCCAGAGATTTGCTCTAAATTCATGGGGCAGGAGGCTCCAGCCCAGCAGCCAGGCTCAGGGGAGA